TGTGCGAATCACACTGGCAGCGCCGGGAAAATGGAGGTGGACGCGGCTGTAGAAATGTTCGGAAAATCTGAGAAATTGCACGACGTGAAATATACTTCGTACGTCGGTGACGGCGATTGTAAAACTTTTAAAGGCGTCACAGAATCTACACCTTATGGTGAAGATGTTATTATCACAAAAAAAAATGCGTTGGCCACGTGCAGAAAAGGATGGGAGCTCGATTGAGAAACTTGAAAAAAAATTCCAAAGGACTGGGCGGTAAAGGAAAGCTCACAGCAAAACTAGATGAGTTAAGTGTTTATTACGGGTTAGTCATCCGAAAAAATAAAGATTCTGTGCCGAATATGAAGAAGGCTATCTGGGCCACGCTGAAACACAAATCGTCAACTGATAAGAACCCACAACACGAGAACTGTCCGCCTGGGAAAGACAGCTGTTGCACCTGGCAACAAGCCAAAGCTGAGAATAAACTGGCCGATTACAAATACAAAACGGCTCTCCCCGACAAAGTGCTGAAGGCCATCACTCCTGTGTATGAAGAACTGAGCAACAAAGATTTGTTGGAGCGCTGTGTAGGAGGATACACTCAAAACAATAATGAGAGTCTAAACGTGATGATTTGGTCGTTTGCTCCGAAGCGAACATTCAGCAGCTCCGAAACCGTCGAAATTGCATCATATTTTGCAGCAAGCATTTTCAATGAAGGCTTCAAGAGTATCCTCAACATGATGCAAGTCTTGAATATAAGAATTGGGACAAATGTCGTCGATATGTGCAACATGACGGACAAACAGAGAGTTTCAATTGCAAACACGCGGACGTTCGACGCTTCAAGAGAAAGAAGAATCGAGAAAAGAACGATAAGATTGGCTGTTGAAGAGGCTTTTCTTGAAGAGACTTTTCTTGAAGAGAAAGGTCCAATATATGTAGCAGGAATGGCAGAATAAGGGTAAGAAGCTTAAAAAAATTTTTTTCACTGACAAAACTAATGACGAAACTTTAAACGCGTTTTTCTCGAAACTACGTTTTTTAGAACAGTGTACACAATATCTCGAGTTCTAATCGATGAATCGACTTAAAATTTTAACCACATATTCTCTGAAGTACTGTCTCTCGTCTGACGGACGATTTTTTCGATATGTTTT